TGCACAAATCACACAAGAGTGGCCAAAAACTATTTCAAATATCATATACACATATGAATACACATGCTAAACATTTTTACTTGGCTCAGAAATCTCTGTGGAGCCCACGCACTTACTCTCTCTATCCAAGGTGTATGTTTGCCCATAGGACACCATTTGCAATGCAACCGCTTTGCATTTGCTTGTAGAATCATATATATATACCAAAATAAATATGTGCTTGTAGTGAAAACTTGGTCTACTAAATAAATCTATCAAAACCACACACCATAGCCAAGTTTCCTAGCCACAAGTCTACAAGCAAACAAAAATTCATACACAAGCCATACAATCCATACATACTCACACACACATACATAATCACATCCTATTAGCACCCTAATCCTAAATATATTACAATAGATTTTCTTAAAAGAAAGGGGTTGCAGTTCTTTACAATTCACAAACAACCCCTAGCTCTACTCCCTTCCCCGTCCTTTACTAGTTCCTTTGCCTTGACCTAGAAATATTAAAAAGAAAGGAGTGAGACAACCACAGTCTCAATAATAGAGAAATCTACATTGATTATTACAAAGTAAGCTATAATCGAATAAATGGATAATAAGTTCAACATAGTATATAATTTAGCCATTTAAAATGCATGAATGCATGACATAGATTGGTATAGCCTTTCATGACTAACAGAATGCTCCTTGGCACTCTTTAACTCACAGGTAAACCTTATACCCACTTGTACCTCCACAGGCACAAAACATAATTTAAGGCATGATCTAATCCACCAAACTGCATATGCCCCTTCGACATGAATCTTGAGAAGTCAAAACTAACACCCTCCCAAAGTCAACCCGACTTACTCTCCATGTGAGGACTACCTTGACCAAGGCACTCAACCTCATACTTCATATGTCGGATTTCCTCCCCCACTAAAAGGTGTCGAACACTTAATACACTAACCACTTTAGTACACTGAGCCCATAATACGTAAGGCAACACTGAGTACTGAGAATGTACCATAGAATATCAAAAGTCCACATCTTTTCATTGGTGAACTCCCACCAAGATCATGCCTTTTATTTATGTCTACCTTTCCTGAGTATTGACCACTTCAACACTCTAAGGTAGTATAACATTTATAAATCTCCCTTAAATGGTTCCTTAGCCTATCTAAGGTACCTTACTTAGTTACACTTCTTTAAGTGCAACTTCTATTCCTCATGATTACAATACATGCAAACAAATTTCATTTTTATAAAAACATTGTTATTAAACAATTAAAAAATATATTTGCACTATAATCAAAGTAGTGCCCCATAACCCCTTATCAAGCACATTTAATCTTTTAAAACATGTAATGCATGATAGCTAGTAATATTTATTCAAAAATAGCTAAAACAAAGTAATAAGAAATATAAATTTTCCTGTTACCTTAACCCTTTGGTACCAAAAGGGTTCTTCTTATACAAAATAGGACTCGGCTTGTTCCTTAACTTCCGAACAAATTCCACTAACAATCCTTATAACATATAAGTGATCCACATCACTTATCATGACAAATAGCATTAATAAAGATTATAACTTATACCACACAACTTAGGTCAATGAGTCATAATCCATCCTAATGGTCCATATATTAAACCAACCATTCACATAATATCACTTAACCTCCAAAACCATTTATTAGCCATCACTAGGCTAATTTTCAATTTATATAATTTTTAATCAATTAAAAAACCTTCACTTAGTGTCACAAACTTTCACCATTAGCCCTGATAATGAAAAACAAACTTTAATTTAAATCTTATTGGGCTCAAATAGCAAAATTATAACTAAATCAATAGGCTTAAACCATTAAGGAGCAAAACCCAATCTTTCAGGGTTTAATTTGTGCCTAAAATACCTCTTTTCATCCAATTATCCACTCAAAATATTAGATCACTATATAAAAACTCAAAACATACTCTCTAGATCCAAAGAAACAAAAGCTTACAAGAATAAAGCCTTTGGGATTAAAATCCAAAAATTTTCTCTTCCAAAAATTGAATAAAATCAAGAGGAAGGGAAGAGGATTGAAGTAAGAAGTTTACCTATTGTGTAGCCGAGCTCGTAACAGTCGTAAAGCCTTTTAGATCCAAGCCTAACTCCCTCTCTTTCTCCTCTCTTCTTTCTCTCACTCTCTCATGCTCTTTGTTCTTTTTTTCTGTGTTTCCTGCATTCAGTTTCCCCTTAAAAAAACTGATATAAGACTTTGGAAAAAATTACAAGAAAGGGCCCAACATTTTTTATCATAGCACAAAAGCCCGGGTCAACTTTGGTAATTTTTCTCATAGTTAAAAATAAAATAAAACCTAACTTTTTCTTAGTAAAATTCAAACTCTAGACCTCTATCAAATTATTCTAAATTTTAATTTAATTATAGATATTTTATTTTATTTTTTTAAAATAAATCTGAGTCTTAAAATTTTTGGGATATTACATAAACATTCTGTCTTTTTGTTCTAGAATCGCTCCATGGATCATATAGCAGGACCCTCAGTTAAATCATTTTGAGATGTATATGTGTATACTATTTCGGAGCAAAAACTCTAACTGCTGCCTAGACATTCTTTTTGGTAGGTTGTAGAAATTTTGGAAAGTCCAACTTACAGTAGAGACTCTGTCAAAATTTCTATGGCTAGCTCAAATATTTTGTACCTATTAATGATTACTTAATATAAATGATGATTGTATGACAAAATTATAATTAATATGATAGATGTATTAAGGGTTTAGGCTTGTAGAATGTGAGTTTTCGTATATTCCAACTGGTCAAACTTTAAAAGTTTAGGGTGTTACAGGTGTCTTGTCCCAAGGGCTCCTACCATATGAAATACTGAGAGCCCTAAGAATGGCTAATCACAATGCATCCATAGGGTGGTGGTAGATCAAGTGATCAATCGTATACTCAAATCATTATCACATAATTGTATATTTAGACCCCCTATACTTGATGGTTATATGAAAAAAGTGACAAATAAAAAGGCAACGAATTCTTGATGGTTGTTTCTATTTTTAGAAACAATTGTCAAGTATCTAAATAGACACTTGATGGTTATTAGTTAATAACTATCAAATATATATATATAACACACACATATTAGTCACTTGTATAAAGATAACTCTCAAATATAAGCTAGATAAACTTGATTTCAAATTTGATTTTTGTTTGACCCATGGCTATTCTACATTAGAAGCTGTTCATGATTTTGTTTTTAGGTTATTTTGGGTGTTTTAGATTTTGATTTTCTGTGTTAAAGAATCTTCATATTGATTTTTTAGTTAATTTGAATATTTTCATTGGTGTTGCATGCATTCCCTTACTCTCTTAGTGTTTCCTATTGCTATATATAGAAAGTTTGTGTTGTTGTTGCTAAATGATTTTAACTAGATGGTTTGATGAAATAAATGGCTGATTTATGGTTGTAACAAAATCTTATTTTCTTTATAATGAAGAGTTCACAAGGTACCTGATAAGTGTTGTTTTTGTATAATTGTGATATTTTGATTAGTAAGAATGTGGTTAGATTAAAGTGTCTTTGTTTTCTCAAAGGTGCTTCCATTATGAAAGCATAGGGGAAAACTTGAGCTATGTGAGTTTTGATGTTGAATTAGCTTTAGAGATGATGTCGTTTTGATTGAACCAAGTGTTATTATACATTGGATTTAATTTTTTGTAACTTTAAGTCCTGATGATTAGTATTGTTGCATATTTTGTTGTTATGTGATGTTAAAACTTAGGCCTGATTTGCTATAATTTTCATCTGAGTTAAAATGATGATGTTTGGTTCTGCTCATTCAAAGGAATTAAAATTGTTGGCGGTCAATTCTGTTTTTATTAAAAATGGGAATAAAATGAAAGAGGTTGGAATGTTAAATATCCGTGTTCTCCCGTAATCTATCCACATGTCCCTTTACTTTTTCAGTTTTTTGTCATCTAGCTATGTAAGGCAAATGCCAGCCCGCCATTGCCAACTTTAGTATCAATATATCCATAAAATAAAAACCTTGTTTTTTTTTTTCTAAACTTTTGATATTATCGTAAAGTTTTTCACGTCTCAGTATCTTCTTTGTAAGCTCAAACCTAGAAAAGAATCGTGCATTTGCTTATTACTGTTGCTTTGCAGTCAAGAGAAGCTTGAAGTGGTGGCCTCTCAAGTTCACTTGTATCATTCTAAAAAAGCAAATGGTGATAATTATAGAAGGTGGTTTTTTAGGTTGATATAGTCAACATGTGACTCATTAATTTAATGAAGTTAGTTGTGAATTTAAGTAATAGGGACTTGAATTTGAATTTGACTTTGGTCCGAATCTCTTATTTAAATACACAAAAATTTATAATTTGGATTTGATACAAATCCAACTTCGATTTCTTATTACAATTTCATTATAATTTCAAATTACTTCTACATCCCAATCATTTCAAATTCTAGTCACTTCAAACATCTCGTTCTCTTCATGTTTTCACTATTAACACTAATGACTCTCATATCTTTTCTTATCCTCATCAATTAAAAAATAGTGATAAACACGTTATTCAATTTTTCACTTTCAATTTGAATCTCAAATTCATTTATCTTCTTTATTTGAAATTTTTTAAACTACCTAGCGAAACAAAGGATTTTAAATATATGAATTTTAAATGTGAAAATTGAAATGCAAGATTTTAAGTCTAAAATTTAAATATAAATCCATCAATTCAAACTCTACCTAAAATTATTTATGAACCAATATGGAAAGTCAATTGTCAATGGATAGACAATTTTATGAATTTATGTATTTTTACTTACATAATCCAACAAAACATAACTTCCATGGAACAAGTTCAAGAAATTACTTTATATTAGACATAACCATATCCATTATCACATGTAAACCAAAATATAGAAAAAAGGATGTTGATATAGTAATCCTCAAACAAGGAAGATGAACTGTGGCTTTTAGTACCATAAACTATCATATAGCAACTACCTAGCTGAGGGGGTAGAGATTGAATCAAGCTGCCCAGAATGATTGATTGAATGCCTTGGTATGCCATTTGAATTGGCAAGACACATCTCCATAACTAAACAGTCCTTTAGTTCTTGCAACACATAACTAATGTCTGGCCTTTGGATGGACTGAGGTGCAATGCATGACATTGCTATCTCAATAGCTTTCCATGCAGAAGCAGCTAGGAATTCACCTGTCAACCTTAGATCAACAATGCCTTGGATATCCCCACACTCAATTTTTGGACGGATCCAATCAATGATGAAACAATTATCCTCAAGTTCTCTTCTTATTGGGGGATGGCCTGTGATTAGTTGAAGAAGAATCATCCCGAAACTATATATGTCACTTTTTTTGTTTAGTTTTCTAGACCTTTGGAATCTGTAATGGGAACATTCTATTAATAAAATTAAATTTCAAGAAACATGATGGCATATTGTCTGCTAAAAATTTAATTTAGTAACGTATATTCATTCAATGATAAAATGAAATGACTTACTCAGGATCAATATAACCAAGTGTTCCAGCTGGTTGAGTTGATAAATGAGAATCTTTTTCATTTTTAAATTCCCTAGATAGTCCAAAATCAGAAATCTTGGCTACCATGCAATTATTTAATAAAATGTTGGATGGTTTCAAGTCTCTATGGATAATGGGAGTGTTACAACCATCATGAAGATATTCCAATCCTGCAATTTCATCAGAATAAGGTAAGGAAAATGTGATTGTTAAGAGAAAATATCACTAGTTGTCTAACCTCTGGCTGCATCTACAGCAACTTGAAGTCTCTCATTCCATTTTAAAACTTCTGAGTTTTTATCTGCAGACACCAATATTGTTGGTCAAGAGCGTGCCTTGGGAAACAAAACACCCATATGATGATGAGAATGAAAAGTGGGTAAAAAAAAGGAAGTAGAAATTTGGGAATATTTGGGGGGGGGGGGACTAGACCTTTCGAAACAGTAGACATATTTTTCTTCGTTCTTAATCACAAGGTAACAGAATAATATTAATCTTCAGTATTCCGGCTTCCCCTTGTATACTCTAATAAGAAGCCAAATCACTATAAAAGATCATATCTAAGACTTCTCTTTGAACCAGAAAATATTTGTTAAAAGGTTCTAGTAGGATTAATGATCCAAAATCTGTTGCAAAAGTCTTAAGGTAACCTTATCAAATGAATTATATAGGAAGTAATGCCAGTAAAATAAAAATATTTGCCGTGAATTGATGAAACAACCCTAGTGAATACGAGCGAAGAATATGACTTACGGATGGCAAGTGGAGAAAGTTTAATTTATTGATTACCATTATATAATAAATATATATAAGGCAAGAAAACAACATTAAAATTATACCAACATCTGATGCAATGTTAGAGAAGTTCTGATCCCAATATTAAAATGAACCTGACAATAGTGCGTTGAGGTCTCCAAGATCCATATATTCATAGATCAATGCTTTGACATCGTTTTCATCACAAAATCCAACAAGTGAAACCAAGTTTCTATGATGGATGACTGTTAAGAGTTGAGCCTACAAGTTAAAAGTCAGCTACATCATTAATTATTAAAAAGAAAGTCCACCCAACGTGAATATGTTCAATATTGAGTGATTTAAAAAATTGAAAACTATTATTTGTCTTTTATTTCTAACCTCTAATTGAAATTCCCTATACCCTTGCCTTGAAGATGGAGAAAGTAGCTTAACAGCAACCTGTGTATCATCACTTAAAGTGCCGAGGTAAACTTTCCCAAACCCTCCTTCTCCAATAGTAGTTTCCAAATTGTTTGTGATACATAGAACCTCAGAGCAAGAAAACACTTGATTTTTTGGTTTTAGAATTTCCATCCTTTTCGGAGATTCAGCAGACAAAACTGCATTGGTAAATGAATGTCTTGACAGTTCATGAATCCATAAATTAAACAAAGAGATTAACATGTTTGGTGCAAGAGATGATAACAAATGGAGGGCACAACATTTCCAATGAAATGTCAACATATATAGGTAAAAAGCAATACCTCTTTTCTTTCTAAATCTCCAGATCACCAAAGAAACAAGGACACTAACGATGACCAAAGCTGAAACTGATTCAATAAGTGGAATTAAAAACTTATGTCCTTTGCAGGAATTTGTCTGACAAAGGCCTGGATTATTAGCCACTCTGGTAAAAATAGAGCAGGGATTAGACTTGAGCATATCGGTATAATACTTAATAAAATGCAGGTTCACCGTGATTTGCTAACATACAATATAATGTGTTATAAATTTTAAGCCGAACTCAGAGGACTAAATAAAATAGAAGTTGATAATAGAGACAAGTAAACCTTAGCTCCAAATTGGCTTTCTCCCTAAAAGCCTTAGGAATTGAACCTGTGAGCTTGTTTCCTGACACATCACTGCAGGATGGAAAAAGGAAGGGGGGGGGGGAGGACAATTCTGAGGTGCACGACTTTTTAATCTGAAGCATGAAAATTGTGATGCAATATAATGGTAGGATCTTACATGAGTCTCAAATTAGGAAGAGTTGCCAGAAATTCTGGTAGTGGACCGATCAATTCATTTTTCGACAAATCCCTATGAAGAAGTGTTCATATTTAACAACATGATCATTTATCATTATCTGAATATCCATGCATGATATCTTATATTATGCAGGAACTTACAAGGACTCCAGTTTTTCCAAACTAGCAATGGCTGTAGCAATTTGTCCAGTGAGTTTGCTTGAGCTCAAGTTCCTACAATTTGTATTTTGCAGTTTTAACAGCGTAGTAACATGGTCAAATATAATCAAGGAAATCATTTTTGTACATTGTTCAGACCAAATAATCAAGTATATTTTATCCTTGATCTTCAACTTCACTGATCATAAACAAGAGCAGTAATTTAATGCTGCTTACAAAGAAATTATCCTTATATTATCGCCAGAGCTGCAATTCAGACCATCCCATGTTAACTTAGATGGAACACATGGGTCGCCTTGCCAACTGATTCTACAGATCCCATAAATATGCTTGATTTGCATGATAGCATTAACTACATAATTCCAATAACAAATAGAACTAACCAGATTAGAATTTACCACTTTTTAATATGTGTCAGTTTGTTGATAACTAAAATCATAGACGAATGATGCAAAAATTATCAAAAAGCAATACCATCCAGTGTAGCTGTTGGGAAATTCAGTTGTGGGAGGGATATATAAACTTCAAAAGCATTAAGAATAGGAGGAGCATCCGAAGCAGCTGCTGCTCTAATAGTGAAGTTTATATAACCTTTAGTGATCTTGTTAGAACATAGGGTAATAGGCTTCAAGTATTCAAGAGTAAGTTGCTGAGACAAGGAATTATCATCGTCAAAAGTGACATTCATAATCCTCTTGTGGCCAGGAGGAAGCTTTTGAATTTCAGCAAAATGAAGGAACAAATAATGTTGGCCCATTTTTTGGAAAATCAAATTGAAGGTTAAGAGATCCGAATGATTCAGAGGTTGCAAAGCAGTGCGTAATACTTCTGATGGCAGTTTATAAGCGGAGTCTTCTGCCTCTACTTCTACATTCGTTTCAAAGGGATCATTTTGATCATAGTAGCTGGACCACAAGCGATCGTACACATCGTCTTTGTACCTGTATTGTCAGGATAAAAAGGTTGAATAAATGATTAATCGCATGCATATTCATTTTAATAGAGTAGGACATTTAACTTATCAATATACTCAAAAACAAACATGCTTAAACATTAAAATAGATTAAAATAAACTCGTCAACAACACCGATATTTTTGGGCTCTTCTACTGTTACAGTAAATACCGGGAGAGATATACTCTTTTTTTGACAAAAAAAATAAAAAATTGGCGTCATTTGCCAACAGCCAATTCATCTTACGATGACATCCATACCATTTAATGGTAGGCAGATCAAACACCTTGAGATTCTCAAACTTGACCACTATATTCAGACCAGCCTTGCAGTCCTCATAGACACACCAGTCGGGGTTGACACGTTCATATCAGACCAAAATAAAATGAGGCAAGACGTAAAAGTCTGTACAAAGCTTTAGGGCCAAAAGAAAAAAAAAAAAAAAAACCTGGTAGTAGAGGGTGAGAGCCTGGCGCCCACGTCAGCTCTTCCAAAGTCAGCATATAGGGGAAGTGGAGCCGGATAAAGAGAGTTGTTTAATGGCCTTAATTCCAAAGTATTGATGAAAGGCGTGCCTTGTCCTGTGTTTACCAAGCACACTTGTAATATTTCTGTATTGCTATATCGTTGCAATATGATCTCATGGAGTTGGCAAGGCTGATAAAATAAGTAAACAGTGGTCCAGTAATTGACCCCCAGGTAAAGGTCAAACGCTGGACCTTGGTTTTTAGAGTCATAATTCCAATATGCAAACAAGGCTCTGATTAGATACTTCTGCTCAATCTCGTGCTTTGGTTTTAGAGCGTAACAGTTTCTTCGTCCCTCCGAGAAACTTCTCAGCGTCATTAGCTGTCGTTCACCGGTTGGAAAATTACTAAGGCAATTAATGTTTGATAATAATTCATTGGCCGGTGATGATAATTCATAATTAGTTCCGCTTTCAATGAAGCCTTCATCTGTCTGGTACTGAATCCCCGTTACATCATCTACGTAATCTCGGCTTGCTCCACAGTCTATGCTGATGAAACCTACGTACACATACATTTGAAAAGCACGGAGCAAGAAACATATAAATAAAAGATGGAAAGGAAAGCATAAGGTCAAAACTCAAACGCTACCTGAATCACCACCTTCTGCAACTACTGGTCGTGCCAAGTGGCTAGCAATAATGATGAACGAAACAAACACTTGCAAAGTGAGCTTCCACAGTGGTGTGCTCTTCATGCTTGAGTTTATGGGAGAGTTCAAGAAGAGAGACACATGAAGTGGGTAGCTGGAAGGAGTGGGCATACATATATATATATATATATATATCCTACAGAAAACATGTTTATGATTGAACTTGGTCTAAAATCTTATAGATAAAATTAATTATTTGATTCTTATAAAACGTCTTAATTTTTAATTCGGTGTTTTCTATTATTTAACTAATCACATAATAATTATATGGGATAAATTAAAAAAGCATCTTTAACCATCAACTATTTGCTCAAAAGCTTTTGTAATTTAATTTTTTTCTTCAATATTTGAAAATAGTGTATTGGACACTCTTCTACCAAACAATGTTAGCTTTGAACAGTATTGATTTAGAAAATTACAAAAAAGGACATAATGACTCAAAAAATTACAAATAAATACTCCCTCCATCTTAAATTATAAGATAACTTTGAAAATATTGTGTTATCCCAAAATATAAGACAATCTAAGAAAATTAAGATTTTATTAATGATATTTTTTCAATATTATCCTTTAAGTAGAGAAAGAATTGAAATGATATTGTAGTGTAATAATTAAATATATAGGGACATTTTTAAAAGTTTATAGCTTTCTTTTAAAAAAGTAAATTTGTAAAGTCTCATTATCAAATTTTATTAATATATATAATTTTATCTCAAATTATTTTATAATTTGGTATAGAGGGAGTACCTTATAAGAAATGGTTATGGTGCAAAAATACCAAAAAAAAAAAATCTCTTGAAGCTTCTAGTAGTATCCTTATGTCAGATCAATAATAGTATATAGGTATTAATTAACTTTATAAAAGAGACTAACATTCTTTAATCTATTAAAATACTTAGTGTTAACCGTTAAGTTTTAAGAATTGTCATTTTGCAAGATTTAAGTGGTTGCTATTGAGCCAATGACCTTATAACTCAGTGTCATGTAAGTTTCCTGGAAAGTTAGAGTTTATAGGTAATCTTGCTTGTAATTTCAGGCCTATAATGCTTGCCCCTTTAATTAAAAAAAAAATAAAGTGGTTGCTAATGACCTTTGCAAGTGCTCCAACAGCCAGGACCAGGGGTCTCTCCATTTTTTCCTCTCCCTTTCCAGCCACTTCCCCCATTCCCACTATTCAAATTTTTTTATTAAACAATTTTTTTAAATGATAAAATTAATGAATGGTGGAGATGTGAGAAGTGAAGGGAAATAGACAAAAAAGAAATGGAGAGACCCCACTTCCCCAACAGCTAGTGCTAGCAAGCTCCCTACTAGAGATGGGGCTCCAATAACCATGGACAGCGGCTCTGATTCTGACAATAGTGGCAGCAGATGGATTTTAAAATAATAAAATCAATGAAGAGTATTTTGATAATTGACAAACAAATCTTAATCGCAATTCATTCTCTAACACTTGCAATGTTATCTCAAATTCTATTTATCCTTGCATGTTAATTTCTTCCATATTATGAGATTCTTCGATGAGATTGTACCTGATAAAATTTATAAAATGTACAAACCCCATATATGTAATGAACTCAGCTGCCCTCCTCTCACCCTGTACTTATCTTATATAAAATATAAATAGTCCAGATTAAATGTTTTACTTTTATATTTATTAAAATAAAAAATTAAAAATTTTTTTATTAAATCTGATCGGCAATCTTCACATTCTAAATTTAATTTAATTTTTTTTCTAAATCGACTATCCATACATACTTTGAACTGTGTAGATTTAATATTAAATTTGGATCATCCATATTAAATCTGGACTATTTAGACAGTGATTAGATGTAATAAAAATTTTTATAATTTTTATAAATTGATTATCCAGACATAGACAGTATAGATTTAATATTAAAATTATAAAAAATTAATATTAAATTTGGACCATGCAACTTACTGATTAGATTTAATAACAAATTTTTTATTTTAATAAATATAAAATAAAGGAAAAATGATAATAAAATTCCTTTGAATTTACTGATTTGCTATTGAATTCTTACGATTTTAAAAACAAAAGTTGTGAATCTTAAAACAAAACTTGCAAATCAAGGGCAAGGCTTAGGATTTTTATTTTAATCAAAGGTAATTTAATCTTTTATATTAATTTTTTAATAATGGAAAAGTTCATAAGGACTTTAGAGGAATTATATTCCTCAAGTTTTGCAAATATTAATTGTTATTCACAAATTTTATTTTAAGATTAACAACTTTTTCTCTTAAATTCATAAGAATTCAATAGCAATTTATAAGTTTGCATTTAAAATTTTAATATTTCTCAAATGTTACAAATATCAATTGTTATTTATAAGTTTTGTTCTAATATTTACAATTTCTTTTTCTAAAATTGCAAGAATGCAATAGCAATTCATAAGTTTGTAAATATTATTTTGAGGCTTGGAATTTTTATTTTAATTAAGGACAATTTAATTTTTTACATTAATTTTTTATATCAAAAAGTTTCTAAAAACTTCAAGAGAATTATATTATTTTAAGGGGTTAAAATGTTATTTAAATGATTTAAAAGGATTTAATGTCATTTTCCCTAAAATTAAAGTTGAAACGTTTAATCTGGTGGATGGTAATTTAATAGGAAATCAACGGAGCGTGGGAGGGACAATTGAGAATCTGAGTCCGTACCTACCCCATCCCTGGGGTAAGGATAAAAGATGCGAAAATTTTTCTAAAACCAACGAGCACGCCAATAAATCAGGTCTAGCAAGTATGGGTCAATTGCCAGGTTGGGTTAAAGATTTTTCAACATTTTAAGATTTGGTTTGAAATTATATGCATAATTGCGTACGAGTTGTTTGAGCAATTTCTGGCACGCAATAGTGCTGTTGTCATTTGTGACTGCACTAAAAAGCTTGGTTTCTTTTTCGGGGCGAGTGACAAGAAAAGCATGACATTAATTGGTTTGATGACTGCAATATTTGACTTTATTCTGTTTAGGTAGGAGTGATTCATGATTTGTTCAGTTTATTGTTTACAAATATCCTTTAACTTTAATTTGTAACAGTTACGTTCGAGACATATTCAGACATAAATAAGAGTATCTTTATCAATGAAAATTTAAATATTAATTTATTACATTAAAAATTATTAATTTTTTTCACTGGACCTAATCTCATCAATTAGAGTCTAAAAAATGAATAGGCTTAGCCCTTATAAAGTCGACCCTTATGAGCTCATTGATTTCTCTAATTTTAACCATATTTTAAAGCCGAGTAATTATTCAAATAGCTTAGAACTAGTTCTTAAGTCTTTTTTTTTAAATATTTTTTTAAAAATAAATTTCAACATTATAACATTACAAATTAATGAAAATTTTCTAAAAATCAAAATAAAAAAAATCTTGACCCTCAATTATATCTCAATCATAACTCAAATTTTACATACTAATCACTCAAGATATACATGTATTAACTTTCTTGACAAATCAAATAGTCAAACCAATAATTATTTTACAATATCACATATTATCATGAAAATGTTTTAAATAACAATTTCAGAGGAAACAAAAGGGAGATGGAGTTCAAATGCACAAACCCTATCTCAATTTATAAACTAGGAAAATGAATTATAGAACATTCATGTTTCTTCAATTTTTTATTTTTTTAATGTTATTTTCTTAAAAAAAAATTAATATGAGTTCATAGGACTGTCTGAACCAGAGCCTATGTGTTACAATGTTGGACTTAGAAACCCAATTACATTAAAAATCTTCAAATTTTCAAGTCCTAATTCCTATAAAATAGATTTAAATGGACAACTCATCAAGTCCCACCCATATTCATAGCTTTGTCGTTGGCTGATTCTTGTTTTATTTTGGGACAATGGCTAATTCATGATTTATTATCATACATCATCACAAGTTTTTTGTATTATACAAACAAGATCCATCTTTTGACCATCACATCTAAACAAAGGGAAAAAAAAAAAAGGGATGTGTTGATATGGTGATCCTCAAATAAGTCTGATAAGCTGTCTTTTTGCACAATATCTAAATCTAACTGTCCAATATGATTGGTTAGATAGCGTGACTTACCATTTAATTTGTCATATTCATGTCCTTATCTAAACATTCATCATTCAACTTTATAGAACGAACACCATCAATAATATAACAAATATTCTCAATTTCTTATCTCATTGGAGGAGGATGACCTGTGATTAATTAGTTGAAGAAGAATCATCCCAAAGCTATAAATGTCACTTGGTTTTAGTTATGATTCCAGACTTCTTAAATGTGTAATAACGAATACAATCAGTTATTGTATAGTAATTCTTTGCCTTTTTTAGTAATAATATAATATGCTTATGTTTGTTAAAAGTTCTTAGATGGCAGCAAAGTACAAATCTGTATATCATGTTTTAAAATCCATGCAGAAGAAAACATATAATGGTATGTCTTCTAAAATCTCTCAGTAATGAATATTTCTTCATTGATAAATGTAATACTTACTCTCATGATAAATATAATCAGGTGTATCAACGTCTTGAATTAATAGATGAGAATCTCTTGAATGCTCTGGACAAATGAAAGATCTCATAAAATTGTGCACTTTGGATGAGTGTAAAAAAAAAAAAATTGTACTTTTGATATTTCTAAATTATTAAAAATCATACTCCTTCTATTAAAAAATGTAAGGTATTTTTAATCGAATCTCACCTCCTAATAAAGTAGTTAACTACTTTTAAACTAACTCTATCTTTTCATATTTATTCCTATTAAGCACCAACAATAAATATAAAGTCATTCATTAATAGGGATACTTTTGAAAAAAAGGGTAATGATTACACCTCGAAAGATTAAAAATGCCTTACATTTTTTAATATTCACCTATTTAAAAAATACCTTATATTTTTAAATAGAGAGAGTAAATAATTTAAAAAGGATAAATTGGCTCACTGACCCAAAAAAAAATTGTGTCCAAAAATATGAGTCAAATTTTTGAAAATTTGGGAGCGTAACCGATTCATATTGATATATAAAGAGCTTA